ATATTTTGCTTGCTATACATAAATGAGCTTAACATGTAGTTCAATTATAATAATTTGTAACACCTCTATACCATGTTGTACCCTTGATATGAATAGTTTAAAGTAGGAAGCATGATATTGTAGTATAAATACCATAATTATAGTATAAATTACAATACTGCATCCGCGACTATACTAGTCATAGACTACAGTTTTTTTCCAGTTTCAATAAAAATATCGTTTTTGATACGATTTCGATATTCAAATGTTAATATCGATATATCAGATCAAAATATATCGGCCAAAAATATCGATATATTTCCAAAAAAATATCGATATATCTTTATATCGATATTTTTCGGCATCCCTAACCCATCGTAACAATATTTAAAAGTTGACAATTGGCAACAGTCAACACTCATCAAGTCAACACTGTTTTTTTAGTTTGAATTAGGGATGGGCAAATAAAAAAATATATCGATATTTATCGTATCCACATTTTTAAAAGCTATAATTATCGTGTGAAAAATATCGATATATCGATATATTTTTTTATTATTTATATTTCCAAAAATTTAAGGTTTTCTTTGTAAATTTATTAATTCATATCCAATTCGTATAAAACTGTAAAATATTAACCAGTCGGACGATTTGGACTCATTGAACGTCACAGCGTTAAATAAAATCAAATCATCATGCAAACTGAATAAGTCTCACGCTAAATAGTTAATAATTTAACTGGTTGATCAATTCTCATGATACTGAAGTTAGCCGACGTGTAAATATATTAGAAACTTTTTCCAACGATAAATTATAAAGAAAAATTTAGAAAAAATTGTACTTAGAGTTTTTAAATTTCTACATGTGCAATTTTTTTGTCTCTTTTTTGTAACTTTTTTGATTGAAAAACAGATCTGAAACTTGTTAATTTTTTTTTTTCAGGGTCTTGTTGCCAAGTTGGTAACAAGACCCTGAAAAAAAACATAAAATCTTAGTAACACTAGACACCAAACCAGAGTTGCGTTAAAAATATATCGAAATTGACACGATTTATATCGGTAATAAAAATATCGACGATATATATCGATACTTATTTTGAAAAATATCGATATTTTTTGCCCATGCCTAATTTGTCTTTGTATTGGTACCTAAGTCCTAAAGTCATTAAAGTCAAATCAAATGGAAGATCGATCTCGAAGACCAAAATTTCCAAATGAATGTTATTCTATCAGCTATCATATATATTCGTAATTTTTCTATACTTAATTGCTTACTAATAAATAAAATTAACTATTAGGTTTTATTTAAGTGTATATACATAATATCCACTCACGAAATATGCCGCAGTTATTTCAAGTACTAAGATGTTATAAATGCTTAATTTTTCAAGTGAGTAAATACTTTTGAAGTTATACTTGCTTTAATGCGTTTGGAAAAAGGTAAATGTAAATAACTTTATCTCCTTCGTAATTCAATTAAAATAAATTTTAAACGATAGAGAAAAATCTCTAATGAATTAATCAACAAGCAGAATTCGGCGGTCGCTTATAGTTTTCGAGAAAAAAAATATTTAAAACTTGTTTTTTGTACTAAGAAATCCACCATTTTATTTGTTTCACTTCAAGAGTCACAGAACCGACACAGAGCGAATCCGACTCGGATAGATTAGGTTAGAAGGTTAAGGCGGGAGCTCCGCTCCCGCCTGATCGATGTTAGTTTTTTTTTATGACCACCAAGAAATACGAGCTAAATTGACATATTGACAACAAAAAATGGCGGATTTCTATAGTAAAAATCACACTATTTCATTATTTATTTTTGCGACCGCCGAATTCTGCTTGTTGATAAATTCATAAGTGATTTTTCTCTATCGTTTAAAATTTACTTGATTTGAATTACGCCGGAGTTAAAGTTATTTACCTGGAAAAATATTAGATTTAAAAGCGGGCGCACACCGACCCTTAAAAAGCGACATGATACTTGTTGACTAATTTAATATTGGCAATCAATAACAAGTTTTTGACCTTTACCAATAAGTCCAAATTGTTTAAATAAACCCTTGTCAATTATTGTTTAGGGTTTACTACATTTAATATTTTTACGCTCAAGAAGTATAAATTCTTACGTGCGTACATAAGTACATTTTTTTTATTAAGGAACCGTGTGCTAAAATAGTAACTTTGGATTTTTGCTCTCACTTCAATCTTTAGTAACCATAATCAGTGTAGGCACGACATATTGTTACTATTATTTATTTTCTTAGAACTCTAAAGTATGAATTTGTCTCATTGCATCAGACCCAAAAGTTGGGTGGGTGCACTCACTACCTGCTATCTTCATGTCATGAGACATTTGTAATTCGTACCAAAACTAAAGTATTTGTATGATCCAAAGATGTTGTATTTTATTGTATCTTCCAGATGTTGGAGTTTTCCCTTGTTTAGTTTTGTAATATACTACTGTAATGAATTGTATTTTTAAAATATCATTGTTTGGGGTCTTCCACCACATTTGAATTTACAAGTTTTACTCTTTAACATGTCTTTCATTTAAATAGTGACTATTGCTAGACTACCATCTCTTCTTAGTCGTTCCCTCACTGCTGAGGATCGTGATTCTTATAAACCACCATCCTACCTGATCATATATGTTAAACAGTTATTTGTGAAGAATGGAATAACTTATAAATACTGTGCTAAAGTCAAGAAGCAATAATTGGGGTTCACATTTTAAATGTTGGCAACCTATCCACAACCCTTCCAGTGCTGTAGATGTCAGGGGATAGCAGTGATCTTAACATCATTTTATTTATTTTATTTTTATCTGAAGATATTTCACATGCCAACCATCACATGAAAAAAAATATTTTAACTGCTGCCATTTTAATTTGAATTGTGTAATTCAATGCCTATTTAGAAATCTGTTCAGATATATTTTAAAATGAAATGGATAACTATTAATTTAAATAAAAAAAATGCATTTTATACAATAAATACCTGCAATAAGCACCTTCCATTTTCAAACGAATGCACTAGAATTTCATTATATATATTTTAGATACATCAGACAAAAAAGTCTAACAAATATCAATGTAAAATTTGTGGTGAAAAGCAGTCAATTAAACGGCACTATGGTCTTGGTAATGGAAAAGAATGCAGACTTCATGTTCAAAAATTAAATGCTTTAAGAGGAGTAACAGAAGAAGAAATGTTTATTTGTGCAGGGGGTGAATTCGAATGCAAAGAAAATAAAAATGGCTACTCAGTGGGAAAGACAGGGGAAACCACTAAAAGCAAATGGTCAACATACATAAATTGTGATAATGTTCAAGAAAAAGATGACTTAAAGTATTTAAAATATGAAGGTGTATGCTCAAATAACCCTAGAAAAAGAAGAAAGGTCAATGATACTGAACAAAAACATTCATGGTTGCTACCAGAAGCTACTGTAGATAAGAATAATATTGGTACTTCACAAAAATTTAAATCCATTTATGCAACTAATCCTGAGACTAAAACTGCACAGGAATGTAAACATAAAATGGATAATGAATCACCAACTAAAATTGTCAAAGTGTCATTCTTAAATATGCAAAATAGTGTTCAACATCCAGTTCAAGTTCAATCAAAATGGTCTCAATTTGTTGAACATGAAGAAAAGTTAGAACCAAATGTAGCATCTGCTGAAAATAGTACCTCGTACAATGGTCAAAAACTTTTTGAACTGTGTGATGATACTGATCTTGATGGAATATTAAATATTTCATTTTGAAAACGAAAGAAAAAAATATAAATAGCTTGTTTACTTTAAATATAACAATGTAAACACAAATATTAGTTAATACATACATTTCCAAATTAACAGTTTGTTTCTTAACTACTTTACTTCAAATTTGTATGCAGGTTTGATGCAGTCTGATGACCAAAAGTTTTTGTTTCATTCATGTTATATGCTATTACTTTCAAAAGCCAGCAGTGTATACATATAGTCAATACTTCAAACCCCTAGTTGATGCAGTTTTTGAGTATTGTCTTCCATGATAAAACATATATGAAACAAATTACAACAAAAAAATATTAAATAGTGGTCCTTCAAATAATTTTTGTTGAATGTGAATATTGCGACGAAACATCATTTGTCTCGAAATCTTTTCCATTCTCGTTCATTTAGCTAATTCATTCATGATTCTTGATTTAGCTGACATTTTCACCTATTGTATACACAGCTTCATTTAATAGTATGTTTATTGAAATAAAAGTCTGAGCCGATATCACAATGGCAATAGTTTATTATCACTTTTTTACTCTTAAAGATAAAAGTGGCTGCAACCAATAACTTGTCATTCAATACATATTTATTAATCCTAGGAAACCTTAATTACATGCGCAATAATGGAGTTATTGACCATCATTATTATTGCAAATAATTTGTAGATGAAAGAAATCTGCGCTTATTTGTATGATTTCTCGAAGTCTACTCAGTTTTATTAGAATTCTTGAAACTTACTCAATAAATAATTTACTAAATTTTTCGCTTTAGGTAGAAGTTTTCAAAATTTTTATATTCCAATTTGTATTACTTGTAGTTTTAATTACTTAAGCATGTAAATAATACTTCCGGCAGTGATTTTATATCTTATATAAAAAAAACTTAAAATTACAGGCCTCTATAGAACCTATTTAAGTGTAACAGATTCTACTTCTCAAGAATACAAATTTGTATCTACTTTAAAAACAACAAGCCTAGTCAACTATACATAAGAGAATTACAAACATTGAGTATGATATAAGAACGATTATTATAGGAAGCCCCTACAAGATGTCGATGTCAACTTTTTAACAAGTATTCTACTGTACTAATTATCGTCGCATATATCTGAAATATTTCCTCGCTAACCCGTCCATAATAATATCGATACATCATTAAAATTAAAATAAAACGATTTTGTCTAAACGCTTCGAAACGTTATAATATCTAAATTGATGTATCAAAAACACAATAATTTCCTAAAAAACAGACTAGAACACCATCATATGACGACGGCGGTGCAACTCTCTCGCTCTTGCGTATCGACGACCATAACCGCTCCACCGCCATGCCCTATTGTTGTAAAATAAATAAAACCCATGTTAACAGAACTGAATAGACATTAAAACTTAATTTTAAATAAAAAATAAAGTATCAGCCTATACATGTCCCCACCACTGAACGAAGGCCTCCTGTGTACAGAGGGTATTAAGGCATAGTTCAACACGCGACCCCACTGCGGATTGGCGGACTTCACATATCTTCGAAAAATATTTTTTTTAAATTATCATTTCGAAAATATGCAGGTTTCCTCACGATGTTTTCCTTCACCGCTGAACACGTGATAATTCAGCACTTGAAATTAACAATTTCATTGGTGCCGGCACCGGGGAACGAACTCAGATCGAGTATATTGAATTAAAGACGAGCGCCCGGACACTGAGCTATCACGGCCCAATTAATTTAAAATAAGCAATAAGTTATTTATTTAACACTAAGTTCACTAGTACTTAGTCATTGATTGATCTCTGGTTTGTATTTTATCACCACATTTACCTTTCATTATATCCAAGAGGTTCACCCCTATAAAGATTTTCGTCATCGAAGCGCCTGCTTATTTCCTCACTACTACCTAAAATCATACTTCAACGTTAGATGGTAAAGACATAGGTTGATAAAGCTTTTAACATAATAACTGTTATAACTATAAAATGTGATTGATTATCATGATAACTTGATGTCTGCTCGGTTAGGTTAATAGATGAGAGCAGAGAGATCTCCAAATTACTTATTTCTTTCAGCTATTGCATTGTGAGATTAGACTAAAAAGCAAATATTGATGTGCCAGGCATAACTGTTATAGTTTTCAAATTAGTTACCCGCTGGATTTGAATGGGAAAATCGTCTACATGAAGGTCCACGGCAGCTTAAAAGTTGCTGCAGTTGATTATGGAAATAATCTTTTTCAGACTGCGTTAGATATTTTACTCTATTCTGGGTCTCAAAAGGATCTGTAATAAAATAACAGTTATTTTTTTTAAGTTTACAAAGTTAATGTACACGCCATGAATGTATACCCACCTATACGTAAGTTGTAGTAAGTGACGAGTCCAGTTACAAATTCGCAATATAACAAGTTATGTGTGGCGTTGATGGTTCTTACACAGTTATAGGTATTGTTGGATGAGCTCATGCAGAAACAGAATGGGCCAGCGGTCCATAGCGGTGCAGTCCTCCAATGTTCGTTATCGTGCCGGAAACAATTCATACGCTCCGATTCACATAGTCTTTCTAATTCCGCCTAAAAATGTGACATTTATATTACAAATTAAAGCGGGATTTTTAGATGGTTATCGTAAAATTCACACGCTCTGATTGTCATAGCCTCTTTAATTCAAACTGATATCAATACATTTTGCATTTTTTTACACTTTTTAAAGCTTGTTCCTGTTTTACCTTCTTCTTAGCTTTCCTTAGTTTTTTGCGCAATCGCTGCTCTTTCAACTTTCTTCGCTCTTCCCTAGCTTTTTGAGCCGCTTCCAGATAAGCGTGTCCTGGACCTTTCGGTTTTCTATAACAAAAAATAACTTATAAATAATATTTAATTAATTATTAAATAAAATAGCAACCAAGCAACAGTATCCAAGACTAGTATACGTAATCTAATATTGAATCCCCCAGTGCCCATTACTGATGAAATGCATCAATGAGTTTCCCGTTTCTCTAATTTGTTGTTTATAGAAGTAAACGGTAACAGTAGTGCAACTTAGTCTTACTAAGCATGATGAAACGTGAGCAGCACGTTTTATACAGTAACGAAGCTCTTTGTATAATTTAAGTAAACATTAAAATTGGACACAAGTCGGCTTACCGATTCTCCTCACAGTAACATACATGTTTGTCTTCATTTTCAATGAACAAAGGATGTAATCTCCTTTGGAATATATCTCCTGGTTTACTAAAAACGCCTAAATTATCATCGCCTGCTTTATTTGGGTTCCTTTGCTCGTATTCAGAGGCATCGAATCTCGTTGGTCCTAAGCTCGGAGAAGACGTACTGTCATATCCATATGAGTTTGGTTTATAGGTGGTGGGAGAAGATTGAACAGTCGACACTCTTTCGGAGGTAAATAGCTTTGTAACTAAAGGAGTAGTTTTAGTAGTACTGGATGCATACGTATACGGGTCCTGTGAAACATTAATACTTGTACCGCCTTCAATAATATATTCTTCGTTACTTTTTTGGCCTGTATTAGATGTAACAAATTGTGCTAAATATTCTGTTGTAGCAATGTCCTCTATCGTTGTTGGTACATTACGTATAGTAGTTCTATCAACTCCTATGTTTTGATCGTCATAATCTCTTTCTATGATAATCGTTGTCACTTGAGGTTTCGGAAGTTCTGTATTGATGATTTTGTTTTTTTCTGATGCATCATCAGTATTATTTAAATCGTACCGACGTGGAATTGGATTTGATGTGGTTGCATTGTTTAGCTGTAATTTAAAAATATCTTCTTTGGTATTAGCATTAACAGTAGGCATTACATATTCATTAGATAGTCTTAATTTCTTATCGAGCGTTGAGTTATTCCTTTGTTTAAATTTTAGCCGGTGTAGCTTTGTTTTTCGAAATTGATCTTTAGATGTGTTCTCGTGAGCTGGACTCTTATTACGATAATGTTGATTAGCATAAGTCGGGATGACCGTTTGCATATCAATCATTGGCTTACTGGTTTTCAAATGCCTTTTTATTTCTTTAAGATCTTCAAGCTTTGTTCGCAGTTGTCTAATTTGGTCTTCCAAACTGAGCCTATTCGTATGCCAAGCTTTTAAGTCATTGTAAATTAATTGCGAACAATTAACTGTCCCGTCTTTTTCTATTTTACATTCTAAAGATGACTCGTTGTTAGGCTCCATTACGTCATTCTTTTGTTTGTGTTTGTTGTTGTGGTTGAAATGTTGGGCTCTACGTTTAATTCTCTTATGTTCTATATTCTCTTTGGTGCGTTCATAGGCCTTAAGATACGCCTCGGTTTCTTTAATCAGTTCGTCAATCTTTTCTTTTGTATTCTTATTTTCAAATTCATTGAATGGCTCGTTTAAGAAACGCAAGTGGCCTATGCTAGGGTTTTCCTCCAAGATTTTTTCTACAGTGTTGGGTTCAAAAACTTCGTTGTCTATCGATCGACGACTACGAGTGGCGTTCTCTTTTTGGTTATCACCGGGCCGCCTTAGAATCGTGCCGTCCGTTTCCAATCTCGTGTAAACTAGTCCACTCGGCGTGAAGCACGCGCATTTCTTTGTGCTCATCTTTGGTTGCGGGGCGTTTATCCCGGACTGAAACAGTTGTTATATTTAAAAAAAATGTTTTGTTCTTAATCACAAAGTTCGTTTATCTACGTCTATTTATACTCAATCTTGTGACATAAATTCACCTCATATTTACACTTATGCCTACGCCAGCGGCCGTTCACAAGGACACATTTCCATTTGCGTCCAACTGAGCAAGGGGCGCGTAATTCGGCTTTGGAACACTCCGCCGCCAACCGAGCTGCCTTCCCACTAGCAATGCTCGCTTCTGCTGTTTCTAAATAAAAGGAAGTTCAACTTTCAGATGACACTTTCATAGGCATTACAAAATATTTTAAAAAAATATAGAAAGGCCAGAAATATTTTGGGTCCGATATTTTTGTTTTTGTTCCCTTTAATACGTACGATCAAAAATCTTTGTTCCAGCGGAGCCAAGAAAATCGAGCTGGTTAGTGGCACTTGCTTCTTCAGCGTCGAGCGCCTTCTCGAGATTCGCCTCCAATATTGGATTGTGACTTTCGTTAGTCAACAGCGGCTCTGATAGCTTCTTCGTAGCGTCACTGGTATCCGCACTTTCCTAAAATATGGAGATGTACATTTGAAAATATAAAAATAAGGAAATAACAGAGTAGACAGTAATATTGCAAGTTCTCTGTGTTTGTACTAAGAATATTATTTATGTCTCTGTGTGTATGTGGTGTTATAAAACAAGGCACTATAAAATCCATTAAATAAAATTATTTCATGGATTTTATAGTGCCTTTTTTTGCATGTCGCGCAAATTTCAAATGGATGGTGGCGCTATTTAATTTAACGCATACTTATTGACGTGTATCTATTATAGATTTACCGTCCTTACATTATCATCATCCTCGTCGAGTTCCAAGAAGTCATCGTCATCGGATTCGTCGTCGAAATCACCGCTCTCGGAGGAGACCTCTTGAGGATGTGCCGTTGTCGTCTTTCCGTTCATTTCTCGGCTGTACATTTGGGCGCGCATTCTCTCCTCCGCCAGGTGGGCTTGCGTTTCTCGCCGCCCGGAGCTGGCGATGTTTTTCTTTGATTAATTGTTAGTTTTTTGAAAAGTGAAATAAAACGGAATTTTCTTGCGTTAGGAAACGTCTCAAGTGTTTTGTTACAAAAAGGGATTTCTTTGATTTCTGTTCGATCAAAAAAAATAAAGTAAAATGATTTTTTTTTGTTTCGTTAGTAAACATTTTTGTAAGTGTTGCCAGAATATGTTTTTTTTGATAAATTGCTATTGTTTGGTTTGAAGAAGTTAAATAAAATAGAATTTTTTACCATCATTATTTTTTTTATGTGAAAAGTTGCCAAACGAGCAGACGGTTCACCTGATGTTAAGTGAATACCGCCGCCTATGGACATCTGCCACACTCGATGGTTCCAGATGTGTTGACAACCTTTTGGAAATTGGACTCCGGCCACCTCACTCACCTGACGAAACGCGAAAGTATTATACTCCCACTTTACGCCGGTCTTCTGTGAGGTCGTGGTAGCTACCCGGACGAGCCTGCTCATTCGTGCAATAGCCGAGGCTGCTGCGTGGCCCTACCACCGAGGAAAATTAACACCGATAAACGTTTTTTGATACAAAAATGTGTTTTAATTGGTCAACTTTAAGACATTTTTGTAGTGTATTACGTATTTTTTTTTAATCTAATTTTTCAGTAAGTTGTACATAACTTAATTGTATGTAATTAAAATTGAAATTAATTCGTCAGACATGTCGAATCGCTACCAATCTACTACTGATCGAGAAATTACAAATAGTAATGTGGTTGCTCAATATACTCAGAGGATTAGCAAGCTAAATTGGCAACTGACCGGTCATATAGCTCGAAGAAACGATGGGAAAGAAAGGTTCTCGACTGCCTAACTTGTATTGCCCATCTTAGCTCACTATATGGATTATACAACCGTGCGGGAAGTCGATGGATGCAGAGGGCTAATGATCGTGCTTCGTGGCAATTTGTGGGTAGGCCTACGTTCAGCAGTGGACTCGAACACATTAAATTGATGATACTGATAAAATGCAATTGGGCGTATGAAAGTCAAAGCATACCTCTCGACGAGAAAAGTGTCGGGCCAATGGGCCGCGGCCTGGCGTCTTCGTCGCGGCTGCAGCAGAGGCAGCAGCGATCGTCCATCCATGTGCGAGGGCGGCTCAACACCACCCATGTCCAGGAACGTCGGCGCCAAGTCAATGTTTAGTATTATGTCGTCCACGCTGAAGACGAATTGACGCGTTATCACTACATAGTTTAAAACAAAGTCGTCCCGCTGTCTGTCCCTATGTATGCTTAGATCTTTAAAACTACGCAACGGATCTTGATACGTTTTTTGTACTAGATAGAGTGATTCAAGAGGAAGTTTTACATGTATAATACATTGCACCGTTCGCTAGTTAGTCAGTAAAACACGATCAACTATCAAACTAAAACAGTAGTTTAACTGCTTTCGTTCGGCGAAAATGTCGTAAGAAAATTATTTACATTTTATCATTTGGTTATGAGAATATTTAAAGTTGCACATGATCAATATTCCCATATTCTAAATGATCTGCTGATTGTCATTGCAAATCACTGCGTCGAGGTCGGAATCAGAGCTACGACCTGCACCGCCGAAGCGAATAATTCAACTGGGTTAAAGCGACACTCTGAATCCATTATTCGCAGTTTCGCATTACACTAGTACTCGATACATTACTTCTGTAATACAAAAAGTATTACAGTAGTAGTATTACTAAGTAATACTCGTTAAACTACTTCTGTAATACAGAAGTAGTGTAACGAGTACTAGTGTAAACATAACAATTGTGCTGTTCTCTTTCCCGATACGATTTAATGCGTTCTTAGAACCAAATTTCTTTTCACAATTATCACTATTAGATGTGTCAAATAACGTAATATTTCTTATTTAAATGTTGGCAGCTGTTGTGGATTCGGCACAACGTATTCTAGTGACACTGAGTACTAAGTTTTACACTTGTAATAATAGCCTATGCCAGTGGTGGCCAACCCTGCGTCCGTGGGCGAAGATACGCCCACGGTTTTGATTTATAATGCGCACGCTGCAAGATTTTCAAAATAGTGATTGAAAATTCCATTTTTTAAACTTCTTAAACATATCAAAAACATTTTAAAGTAATTAATATTATTTTTTTTTATTGTTGCAATATTGGTGGAATGCATTGCTCGAACAAAAAGGGAAAGTTTATAATATTCTTGAAGATCCTAGCAGGCTTTTTTTATGTGAAAAGTTGCCAAGCGAGCCGGTGGTTCACCTGATGTTAAGTAAATACCACCTCCCATGGACATCTGCAGATGCGTTGACAGCCTTTTGGAAATTGGGCTTCGGCTACCTCTTTGAAGCACTACTTTGAAAAAGGTTTGCAGCCTACGCCATAGGCGAGACGGGTCGGTAGAGTCTGATAAAGTTGTTTCTTCTTCACAGGGCTTATAATGTCCGTAAGACGACAAATGGTAGGCCTATCGTCGTACAGTATGATCATTGGTGAGACCGTGGTTGTACTCATATCAACCCTTCAAAAATAACAACAACAATACAAATATTATCTTAATGATATACTAATAAAGATGTTGCTACTAATAAAGACTATCTTAACTAGTTCAATATAAAAGCTGTACTTACACGGTGCCTGGCTCCACGCCGGGTCCGCGGACTAAGAAGGGTACTCTGATGTCGAATTCGAACGGGAAGCTTTTCCCTTTGACGAGGCCGAACTGACCCAGATGGTAGCCGTGGTCGGACGTGTACACCAAATAGGTGTTATCCAATTCGCCGAGCGCCTTCAGCTCTTGATACACTTTCTCCACCGCCTAAAACACAAGACGTACACGCTTGATGGAAGCGTTTCTTGGTATATTACGTCGGTAGAGTAATGTAGGTGGTGCTCATGTATGAATGAATCGACTCTTTAGGGGAAATACCACGGCTCCAAAGAAGCGGCGAGAAGTAAAACCGTGTTTATTTTTGTCTGCTGAGCCTTGTCTGTCAACAAAAGCCCGGGGCCAATCCACAATTATGTGTGTACTTGCTTACGCACGTAAGAAGTTATACTTCTTTAGTGTAACCAAAGAAAAATATATAAAAATGTTAAACCCTCTGCCAGTAGGTACTCTTTGTTTGTGAAAAATCTATTATTGATCACGCTTTAATTAAATAACTTGGAATTAAAAGTAATTATTTTCCTACAAAGTTTAATGTTTCATCTTAAGTGTAGAGTGTTAAAATTTAGATTACAGGTAAATAAATATGAAAATAGGTAAATGTCAAAAAAAAATTATTGGTTGTGATGGTAATATCGTAAAGTTGGTCGCTTTGCAACCAGCTTCATCAAGCCGGTGTCGCTGTGAGCGCATCGTAAAATTTTCGCTCTCATAATTTTTTTCAAACAATCGATTAATTTTAGTGCTTGTCTCTGCATTCAAGATGAAACGTTAAATGGTAAGTTTTTGTAAGTACATTAACAAATAACTCAAGGCACTGCGGGATTAGAACCTGCTGGATTCGGGTTTCGCGCCCAAAAGCTTACCAAATATACCTTATTTGAACGATGAGGTCGCGTTTTCGGTTTTATGTTTTTAGCGTGGTGTGTACTTTAGACTCGTTGCAATTTTGAACTTTGAAGTTTCTTTTGATGATATGTTATGAAGTACCTACCATGTCCACGCTTTGTAAAGTCTGCAAACGCTTAGTCATCAGCAGATCGGTGAACTGCCGGTGGATGGGCTTCATCTTCTCCGTGACGCGAAGGATCCACTGCTTGTCAGGGTTTGGGGCCATGTCGTAGGTGGGGGTGCTGGAACAAACGACGGTTCTAAATAGTAGAGTATTCTAAATAATAGTTTCAGAGCGATTCCCTGTATTAATTGTAGGAACATCAAAACATGATTTGCTTTTTTTTTTTTTTAATGTTATAAGTTGCCAAACGAGCAGACGGTTCACCTGATGTTAAGTGAATACCGCCGCCCATGGACATGTGCTACACCCGAGGGTTACAGAGGCGTTGACAACCTTTTGAAAATTGGGCACCGGCAACCTCACTCACCAGACGAAACGCGAAAGCATTTGTCATACTTCCACTTTACGCTGGTCTTCTGTGAGGTCGTGGTACTTACCCGGATAGGCCTGCCCATTCGTGCAACAGCCGAGGCTGCTGCGAGGCCCTACCACCGTGCTTTATGAGACGGAACGTGAAATCAGTTTACCGTTTCGGTTTTCTTAATATTGCTGAATGACTGGTACGACACATTTGTAGAACATTTTCGTATTTTTGTAGAACTTGCATCATAAAATAGCATAAAAACCAAAGTGGTACGTCGGAGAAATAAAACAAAAACAGTACTTCTAATGGTTGGGTAATAAAAGAATTGTGTGAGCTAATTCGGTGATTGCCGCATAAGTTGTATTACATTAATATTATTAGTGTGTTGAGTTCATGTTGGTCTGAATGTTATATACTGTAATGGGAATGTCTATTTTTTATCGATGTTTGTCGTGTATGCTACCATGGTCACATGCACGGCAGCTACGTTCTTTTCTATTTTCACACAGATGTCTACGAAGCATGCGGTCTACCTGATTGTAAGAGAAGAATGCCGCAGGTGGACTCGCAACATAAGGTTCGTTGCCAACCATTGAGAGTAAGGCCCAGTTACCTTAGTCACCAGACGAAGAGAAAGTATAATATATAACTAAGTAACTATCTTTAGCTCACGTCAGTCTTCTGCCAAGTTAGATCTGTTATTAAAGCTTTTGCTATACCACAGTTGAGATTTCCTATGTCATGTTTTTGTTACCTCAGAAATTATTAATATACATTTTTACTTATTATAAAAGTTCTTTTTGCATTGGGTTCGGGCTTAATTAATTTGGGACCAAATGGGAAATAACGGTTTATTCTTTGGTATTATATTATAATTTCATTGGACTCCGGACATATATTAGGGAACTTCTAAAAATGAAATAGAAAATGTATAGTGAGAAAAATATTTGATGTCGATTTTTTTTCTGTTACTAAAAATGTTATTTTAGATTTAAAATGGAACTTCAAATCGCGCATACGAAAACGTTTTTATCGCGAAGACTTCTTCGTTTTACAGTCATTTAAATACGTTTAATACTGTACGTTTATATCTTATTACGTTTGTCGGCATAGGACCCCCGGGACAGGTTCGACATCGACCACACAATATGCCGGTGGTTGAATATTTAACGGCACGTCGCCGGGTCCGGCGTTCGACTTCGGCTATCTGCGCCGGCCTGTCGCAAAAGGGGCCGCGCGGAATAAATTCATGCAAAACGTTGGATTGAAAACAATAAGGCAAAAAAAATGTGTACGATTCGAATTATTTTTATTAAGAATTTGTTAGCCGGTAATCGCCACCGTTTCTTCACAGAAATGTTTTATTATCTGTCGTGTTTTTTGTTGTATCAATTTAAATTTTACCGATAGTATGTTATAAGACATTATGCTTATATATTACATATATCATAATATTTTTTTGATTCATTGCAAAGATCGCGTAAATGAATTATGATCATAACCTAAACTTGAATTTATTGAAATAAAAATCTAATAACTTAGATGGATGTAATGTAATTAAGATTCGACTGGGATGTTTTAATATTTGCATAAATAGGCGTAAAATTAAGAGTATCAATCTTGTCAAAAGATTCGTTAGCTCAATATAATTAACATATCACTTCTAAATGTAAATACATTTGTCACTTATAATTTATGATATTTTGCTCCTCAGAACGTTGTTTGTAATAACTGGTTATAAACACATAAAGCTAAGCTAAAGTTTCCAAAATGTAATGTATTTCATAAATCAGAATTTAACTTAGAGAATTTATTTTAATGCAATATAAATTACAGAACTCAATGCAGTTGTATATGTCAGTTAGCTTTTTGTCATCTCACTACTGGTCTTATAATAAAAAATAAAAAGCTTTTAAACAAACACAAACTGAACAACAAGTTGAAAAAGTGTTTGTTCACAAATACGAGCCGGGAGTTGGGATACGAAGCCGTGACCCTGCATAAATGCTGGTCTTAATGTAGTGCTGATAAATTGAAATGTCATGTATTGGTACTCGACATTAAATATACATAGGTAGGTATACTCCAAATAAATTTTATTGGGTCTGACCAAGTAATAGCATACCTACATTTATCCCCTTTTACCCTTACCTCACTTCTAATGGAACGAATGCTTCTGAATAATTTAAGTAAAGATACTGTCAAAAACTTATTATAGACTAATATAGGTTAGTTAAAATAAAGCAGTTTTGAAGACTTTTTTTTAAATTTAAAATTTTGAATATTAATAAGAAGTTACATTTGTGTAATTGTATGTTCATTACTTTTTTTCTTCTTATGGCTACTAAACTGAATATTATTATATTTATTAATGAAATACTGTGTCATATCGAAGTAATATTGGCAATTTATCCGAATTGAAGGAAAATGTCAGTTACAGATATCAATCACTATTTTTATACAAATACATCACTAGAATTCGTTCCAGAAACTTCAGATCAGTTGAATGACTAGAAAATGAAACTATGAGGGATATTGTAACATCTTAATGATACATATTTAGTATTGATAACAACTTATGTGACTAAGAAACTATTTTGGGAAATATAAAATCGACAAAAACGTCGGTACCGATCAAATCATTAGTGCATATCCAGTAATGCATATACATCGTTCGGGTTAATTTGCATCGCTTTAATCTGCCGACAATTAATCCGCCCGGCCGCTTGATCAATTTACGAGTACGCAAGTCCTCAAGGTGCTTACTAAATGTTGCCATTACATATTACCGACCGCCCCGAATAAGGTATGTTCTGTACTTTTTTATTTTTCCATCATCTACATTTCGCTTTGGCGCCGCCGATAAAACAATTCTAGTTTCTTGGAACTGTGAATAATGCAAAAGATAATGTTTAATGATGACAAAATATACCGCGCATATGTCTGTAAGCTTCGTCCGACAAAAAATAACTGCGCTTAATTATTGAAATATTTAAAAATTCATTAAATGAAATCAATAATTATTATTAATTTCCATATGCTTATATTAATGAAAGATAAGCATATGGAAAGACAAAAAATTTATAGTAAATATTTTTGATTATTGTATTATTAAAGTTCAAATAAATTAAAAAAAATCTTAAATTGGACCATTTAAAAATTGTTTATACAATTTTAATTTTATTAAAGATAACGTCATTCCTAAAACGCCGAATTATCTAATTCTACTTATAAAGTATGGCTACATACTGATAGTATGACATAATTGTTGTTAAAGAGTTGAGTATTGGAATACAACGATTAATCTCTTTTTTTAAACTATGCATAAATTCACATTCACAAACAAAATGAAAGAAATTGAAACAAAGACAATTATCACCAAAGCTGAAGAGGAAACACCTGCATTTGGCCCTCTAAATACAAACAAATTTCGTAATGGACCCGGAGAACTGTTTGTTGTTATTTCAACAGGGTAATTGATGTCTTCACAGTATGGAGTGAATATCGACGCAATAAGACTATTATGAACGACGCGTTCCAAAAGAATTTTATATAAAAAATGTGTTCTTTATCTAAGAAACACGATACACAATGTCAGAGGCAAGTAAAATACGCAAAAAATATCATATTACTAGTGAATAATTAAGCAGAGCTTTAAAGTTAAAACTTAAGCGTTAGGAACTACTCCTTTTTCATTCTTTGCAGTTAACTGGCCTCATCAGACACGTGAAAAGATATTTAATGGATTCTATTATGCCGTAAGCAAACGCCAAAATCCATACTGGCGCCTGAGACCAGTAACAAAAAAATTAAACACCGTTTTCAAACACCTACGCCAGAAAGATTATTAGCTAACGCTTGAAACACGTGTATGTATTAAAAATAAGAATCGCTTTTCAACCCCAGTATTAAACTTTGCGTCCTCTAAATATTCCAACAAAAAACTCTAATTGCTGCGGCATTTTTGCGAGCGGGCGGCCATCTTACTTCTCTTTAAATATTTAAGAACTTGACCGTGTTTTTGGGAGACCGGTCAACGTCGCGCAAAAACTCCCGAACACCGCTTACATACGAGTAATATATTTTTTAGCGTTTTCCACAACACAGTCCTTATATTTATTGAATAAACGTCAGGGGCATGTTAATGTTTTTGATGCTTTCATGGTGTAGAGCATTTAGTTCAATTGATTTGTGCGTTGGATCCCGTTAAGACATTATTTTGAGTTTATAAAGAACGCAAGCAAATTAAGTTGTATCGTTAAAATTAATTAAGTCAAGATCTCGCATAATATGTACATTAAAACATCGATATAAATACAAGTCTAAAAAAAAGGTTTAAAAGTATAATTTTCATATTAGTTATAATTTATTAATTGGGCGATTAAGATTTTTCTAATTAAAAACTGCTTCATCTACATTTCAACATAACGACTTTTTTTATTAACATTTTACGTTGATCCTTTTTTGAATACTAGATAGTCATATATACCTATAGTTAGAGTGGCCATCGAATAATGTTACTACATACTACTCTACTATTTATCCCTGATTCATAGTAAATATTATATATCGGAGTATTGATAATATGTATGTATTTTTTAACAATTTTTTCAATTTTGAATTGTGTTAGCATAACTAAATAATATTTTTCATAAGCTTATTTAAAGCTGTTTTTTGCTTATGAATTAATCTGAAATTATATTAAAAAAGTTTCGTGTAGGTAAGTTTAAAAATTCGGCTGCATTACGACGTATCCGCATCTCATTCATTCTCCTTAAAATTTTCAATATAGAACATTGATTTGTCAAAGTTTATCGTATGTAAGTATATAGATCTTATAATACGACTTTAAAAACGATGATAAACGACAATAAACTAATAATTCGTCATTAATGTGCTAATTAAATCGATGTGCTCGATTCGAAATCGATATTGCTCCATTTGTTCAAAGAGGACGCTTGCATCACAAACCAAAATATCGTCAAGCGGCGGTGCGACATAACGTTTACGATAGTATTAGCATAACACGCGATCAGTCTGTGGACGCGGCTGTATTCTCGGATTGGGAATTTAATATTCTATTTCGTACCCAAGTGCAGCGCCCGTCTGCGCGCAATCTGCATTCGCCCCGTGCAGATGTTTACTGAAGCAATTGTTTCAGTCCGTAGACGTGATCGTGTCGCAGCTTGATGTTTGTCAATGTAAAGCATTTCAAATTTGTTTTTTAAAGAAATTATCGGAATTATCTCAATGATTACAATCGAATGTACAATGTGGTGTGAAATGACGGTGAATGTACCGGAACCGGTTTAACGGAGACCTTTGAGTTCAAAAGTTTGCGCTTGAGACCCTTGTGGAGTGAGAAAGAGATAGCTTATACTTTCTACATTACATTAGGTCAATTTTATCCCAAATTTTACAGGGTTTACATCTTGCTACGGTATACGCTAATACATAGTGTGTACAAAAATTACATACACACGTATGTAATTTTTGTACACACCATTATAGCGCGACGTGATGTAGCTAATAGCTTAATTGTCAGACCTTGCAATCATCGTTTTATCTGATTTTGTACGTTTATTGATAATAAACACAATTTTTAGTTAATCATTTTTTAGTTAATCTATGGTATCGATAGAGCTGTGTAAAGCTACTATTTAGCTTTACTTTTATGTACAAATGTGACTATACCTAGTAAAACCTTTCAATATAATTTTCACCCAAACACAGATAGAATGACTTGCACATATGGTATAATGAATCATTATTATGTAATTGACATTATCATAACATACTTACCGAGTAGTTTACTCATTTTCGGCAGATAAATGATAAAAGATTCTATATGCGTTATTCTGTGTATTTTTTTAGGAAATTATTTTCAATGTTACGTACACGACACGAACAAAGTATGACGAAATGTCTTTAACTCGATTTGCCAATACCATCGTAACAACCAAGATTCTTTTTATTATCTTTAATGATAACCGCAGTTCGCAAAGTAAAAAACTAACCGGATTCTCATGACATAAGAAATTTTATTCCAACGGTTGATTGAGTCATTGTAGACGCTGAGGAATTTATACATGAATCTTCTAAATATCTATTAAATTCCTTTTTTCATTCTATTACTAATATTTACTGACTTTGACATGTACTGCAAATCAAAAAATACTAAAGTGCGTAGTAGGATAAAACAGCTTCTGCTGTTCACAAATTATTTTATTAATGTAATAAAATCATGTTTCCTTCGTTCTGAAATACGCTTTTATTATAAATTTGTCTTCGCTTGAAAAAAGAACATTATCATCAACACTACGCGATCAGGCTATCCTATGTAGTGGATGTACAGATGAAGAATACCTGGACCGAAGTCTGAGCAAACTTATAATATGTAGGTTTGCCTATCTATGGAGAAGTTCAAATTCAAATTCAAATTCAAATCATTTATTCATCGAAATAAGAAATATACATTTCATTTATCGATAGTCATTTTTTAAATCAACCACCGTTTCGTAATGAGGTTCCTCTAACGGAGAAGAAACAGGCGAAAGAAACTCCGTAGGTATCCTCTTTTTTGTCATTTTTTTTTTACTCAACAAATACATAGTTATACAGTAAATACATAGTTATAGAAAGGTTCTCGTGGCCTCCATAGCCTCATATTGGCCATCGCAGTGTAATACATAATTTAACTGTGATAGGACTACGCGTGTCCTCGATTAGGCAGGTCTGTCCGGGTAAGTACCACGACCTCACAGATGACCGGCGTAAAGTGAAGACCCGCGTAAAAGAAGTGTTACACTTCTGCGTTTCGTCGGGTAAGTGAGGTAGCCGGGGCCTACTTTATTTAAAGGTAACGCATTTGCATGTCCTACAGATGTTGATTTTTTGATGGTGATTTAACATATTAAAATTACTTGATCGAAAGCTGATAGCTTGACAATTCTACCAATCGAGCCATCCAAAGTAAATATGCTTCATTATAAAATCCTTGTAATTTTGTTAGAGGTACATATATGCTTCAACAATCGTAGTATACAATGGTATAGTTCTAGTAGTCCTTCTATACTCACTGATGGGTTGTCACATTGAAGAAGAGGTGTGAGTATTGCGGTGCAGAGTCCTCGGGCCCGTGCGGTGCTGGAAAAGACATCACAAGCAGCACGGGTTTCCTGGCGAAGCGACGTTTGGAAGCCCGAAGGAACGCTATAGAATCGTTCGCTATCAAATCCGGATAGTAGTCCTGGAACGGATAACGATTTTCTTAATGTTACGTACAAATTTTGCATTAACGAGGTTCTACTTTTTATTCTGTTCTAATAGTCTTATCACTACATAGTATAAAACGAAGTCGTCCCGCTGTCTGTTTGTTTCTATGTACGCTTAGATCTTTGAAACTACGCAACGGATCTTGATGCGGTTTTTTTTACTAGATAGAGTGATTCAAGAGGAAGGTTTATATGTATAATAGTTTGTGTTGGATTTCTGGTCTACTGAGATTAAAAACCTTCGAAAAGAGTATTGGACAGGAATTTCTTTCTTTCTTAATATTCTACAAAAGGTTGACTGTAAATGTCTCACTGATAAAAATAATATTCCTTGTGTATTGATCAATTTTTACTTTCAAAATTTTTATTTTCCCTAGTTTATTCGTATGGTGGGAGTACCATAGTATCGTATGTTTGGAAATAACAATCAAAAAAGCAAATCTCTGATGTAGTCGAACTGTTAGGTTGAAACAGATACCCGATGAATATTTTAAAATGTAGGAATTATTAGCCGTGATAGCTCAGTGTCCGGGCGCTCGCCTCTAATTAAATATACTCGAGCAACCTGAGTTTGATCCCCGGTACCGGCACCGATGAAGTTTTTAACTTAAGTGCTGACTTATCACGTGCTCCGCGGTGAAGGAAAACATCGTGAGGAAACTTACACATTTTCGAAATAATATAAAAAAAATATTTTTCGAAGATATGTGAAGTCCGCCAATCCGCAGTGGGGCCGCGTGGTGGACTATGCTCTGATACCCTCTGTATAGAGCAGGCCTTTGCCCAGCAGTGGGACATGTATAGGCTGTTACTTTACTTACTTTACTACGAATTAGATGCCCGTTTAGAGCCATATAGCATATCTGCTTTATATGAATGGACAACTTCGATCAGGGAATACCACGCCCTGATGGAGGTATATATATTAACTTTTGCGTTTTTTTTCCTGTGTATGTGTATTTTTGAATGTGAATGTATATTTTTCCGTTGACAACTCAACTGGAACTCCACGGTGTATGGGGTAAGCTCGTGAAATTCGGGAAAGGCATTCGAAAAACTGATCAAGAATTTTCATTCATAAAAAAGTAAAAACTTACTCTATGATAGTCGTCACCGTGTTTGATCTTCTTTCCGTTCATATTCACGCTGTAATTGTAATATTTGGAGTTCATGATGAGGCCGCCCCACTCGCGCCAGCCCGGCGGGATGTAAGAACCGTTATATTTGTTCAAATACTTGCCGAAGTAGCCTAAGAACGGGAAAGGGGCAATAAGTGAATAAGGCAATAAATCTCAGGTATTTATAATTAAATAGATTAACTCTTAAAACTACTCGTTTCTCGTTCTTCTATTGAAGTGTAAAATTATCGCTGTTTGTAAAGTGCTGATTGATAAATATGCTACTATCGTGTCTTTTTCCCATAGACATTTCGTTAACTAATCTAACTTTAAGCGAAAACGCCTTCATTCATTTCCATATGGTGCATTTCCCTGCCACCGATCATATTTACAATGGGTAGTAGGGAAATGTTTAATGATCTACTCGTATTTAAAATATACTGCTAATCGAATACAAGAAGAATGATGCTATGAATATTATTCATAATATTATTAGAATTAATAAAATAATTTTTATAAAAAGAAATTCTTTTCCCTATTACATGTTAAATTTAGCTATTGAAATGTTCCACTATATGCATTATCTTGTGTAAGATGATGATGATCTAATGATAATTTACCGTTCCTGTTTTTTTTTTCTTTACAAGTGTTTTTAATTCTTTTTAGCACTGTTGTATATACTTGTAACATGCATGTATATAAGAATTGGCCCTATAGAACCTTAGTGTACCTAATACGATAAATAAAGAAAATAGAACACATTAAAGAAATACCCATGAAAGCTGAATAAATATGATGCTAACTTTATCAGTGTAAAAAAATTAAAAGTACTAGAAAAGGTGCAGTGAATACGGCCAGTGCGGAAAATGTTCGCTGGGAGATAACAGTTCCGAAATTTTAATTAATGCAAATGAAGGGTGGAGTTTTAATTTTCGAGAGACGTCTACGTCAGACGTCACCGATGAAGTAAAGCTTGCATGTAAAACTACCAGCAATATAGTATAGATGTATTGAGTAATATGACGTCATGAAGAATGTAGATATTATAAAAAATTAGGTTTTTAATTAAAATGCTCCTAAATTGAATAATCGCTGAAACAGGAGAATATTTTATTTTTAATTTTCATCATTATATAAAACTAGCTGCTGCCCGAGACAATCTGCGTAGAGGGGTGAAAATTTAAGGTTGAATGTATTTTTGTATGCTGTATCATAAAAAATAAAAACAAAAAAATTAAAAAAAAAATAAAAATTTAGGGGTGAACCACCCTTAACATTTAGGTCGATAAAAAATAGATGTTGTCCGATTCTCTACCCTGGCCGATATGCACACAAAATTTCATGAAAATCGGTCGAGCCGTTTCGGAGGAGTTCAATTACAAACACCGTGACACGAGAATTTTAATTACAATTAATTATGGACTGGACATGAATGTCTTTGACTCTAAGACTAACAGAATGTTATGAATTATGAATGAATGTAGACAGAATGTACAAATGATTAATTAAACATATTAAATAAATTGTCCTTTATAGAAAATAGTACATCATAGCGTTTTCATAGAATAAATTGAAATTTGCAGCTTTTAGGTTCTCTTTGCTCTACTTATATATTCCAGCTAATTAAAAACTTACTTTACAAATTGAGCTATGTAAGTTAGTCATAATGTAGGTACCCATTAGCGAATGAATTAATAAAAAATTTCAGAGATTACCTAAAACATATCAGTAAACAGTATACATATTGTAATACGGTAAATTTAAGTATTTTTTCTTTGAACTCGCGGCTGGCACTAAACATCTATGCACTTTTTCCGTATCCAGATATTTTTTTAATTATTTCTGTCTCACATAAAATCAGCCAAAATTTAAAAAATTAAGAGAAAATAAGTTAATGGTAATAAACGCGCTATTCATAATAAGATTATTATTATTATGGTTTGATATTATTATGGTTTGTTAAATAATGCTAACCTTACTTAGTAACAATAAAAGTGTAACACAGACGGTAAAAGCTGGATAATTCAACGATGTGAGTATGGGTCTATATTAAGAAAGCCAGTGTAAAAAACGTTACGTTATTTGAAAATAGATCAAAACTTCTATCTTTTAATCATTAACTTTGGAACAATGTCAAATCGTAAACCGATACCTTCTCCTGTCCTAAACATGAATGCGTGAGATGAAAGACGCCATTCCTGTCTAAAGCCATCACCTTACGAATTCCTCAGTGAGTTACGAGCACAATCGCCCGCTGGAGCTCGAAGAACGGGCGCAGTGAATTTCAAAGCTCCTCAATTAAAACCGACACATCAAATGCAGCTCCCGGCGAATTTGGTCGTATAAATTAATGAACAATAACTTTTATGCTGCGACTTGACTTTAGTTAAAGGAAACCTCGCATCGACTATAACAGTAAAAGGCATTATGCGAAAATAATTTTGACATGTGGTAGGGCCACACAGCAGCCTCGGCTGTTGCACGAATGGGCAGGCTCGTCTGGATAAGTACCACAACCTCACAGAAGACCAGGGGGAAGTGGAAGTATAATACGTTCGCGTTTCGTCTGGTGAGTGAAGTAGCCGGAGCCAGATTTTCAAAAGGTTGTCAACGCTTCTGCAACCCTCGGGTGTAGCAGATGCCCATTGGTGGCGGTATTCACTTAACAAAACGTAAATCGCCTGCCGCTTGGCAGCTTTTCACATAAAAAAAAAAATAATTCTTTATAATGAAACCTTTTGATTTAAAATTTTATTGTGTATTAAATTGTTTTAGTTAATTATTCAATATCATATTAATTTCATTAAATGTTGAAGACGGCATGGCTCACTTATATAACGTTAAATTTGCACAACACATATCTACTACCGGATATTTATCTTCTTTATCAAAATTAAAATAAAAATGTAAATATTTCAAATTGTCTATGTTGTCAGCTCAATGTTACTGCCGATTGCACGAAACTAAATATTTTGCGATAAAATGTACGTGGTTATTGAAATAAATCCTTATAAATTAATCTAACGTTTAATTTGAAATAATGCAATAAAATGAAAAATAATTTCTTAATATTACGAAAGTCGACAGCGTTAATAGTATTAATGGCATCTTAAAGCTGTCTTTTACCACGTGCCAATATAACCATTACTTTTTTTTTGTCTATCGATTGGTTTTCAACGAAATCTCCTTTCATCGATCTCCTTCAATCGATCTCCTTCAATCGTAATAAATCAATTTCACTTAATCCAGCAACGCCTGAATTTGAACGAGTAGGTTGTTCGAGTTTTAATATGCGAGCTGACCGTCTTGACCACATCGAATACTTAATAAAATTATTTTCTATCTTTAAGAGATAAAATTTTGGACCATCTTATTTATTCAATTCACTTAAATCGTTTAAAAGAGTTTAGTGATAAATATTTTTCGAACCGATTTAGTTTGAAATTCTACGATAAGTTTAAATAAAAACAAATAATTTGCTTCCCGAGCTGATGCGAGTAACATCGTCTTATTTTACCACGGTATGGTGTAAAACTGAAGAAATAAATATAAATCAAAATGTTAGTACTTCGGAATGTGAGGTACGCACCAGTGATGTGACGAGTTGGATTTTTTTTGACTCGAGTTACTCGAGTTGATTTGGCTACTGACTCGAATCGCAACTCGAGTTGACTCGCATCGAAGTATCAGGTAGGGGTTGGGGGGGGGGGGGGACGACTCGGCCAACTCGGAGAGCACGAGTCAGCTCGACTCAAGGGTAATTAGATAGGAAGTAATAATGATGTTGAATCGTGATGTTATGTGGCGGCTGCTACTCGAGTCGATCAATTGGCACTAGTGTGCATTTTATTTCGAAAATCAATCAACAAAGGGTATATTATTCCAGCGCAGATCTCAACATCGTGTTTAAGAAAATACGACAAAAAAATACCGCCATCTATCGCCTCAAAGTCGTATTTATAAAATGTTATTGTTTTTTTTTTTATTTTTTATAATTAACTGATGTTTTTGCTTTCAGTCCCGAGACTATTAAAGCTTCATCTGACGCAGAACCGGTGGGCTAGCCAGAACCCACGGGTTTGGGCCCTCCGCTGTGGGTAGGGCCACGCATGTGCTCATGCGTGCGTTTAACTATGGTACGTCATCTAAGGGCCATCGAGGTCGTGGTTCGGACCGAAACCCCGATGGCCGTCGACTGTGCAATTAGCTAATCGGTGGCTGGGGGCGGTGAGAACCGCCCCGGAACGCGGGTGTACCTTGTGTACGCGTTGTGTTGGTCTCGCCGTGCTCGGAGGCGAGGGCGAACTAGTGTGTTTGTTGTTGCACTAACTGCGTGGGTGTAGTGTTGTCCGGCGGGACCCCCGGCAGTGGGTCCGGCGTGTCTAAGTCCCCTTCCTCGACCGGGTCGATTAGGACGTTTGGCGGGCGACGCTTGTTGACGTTCGCGTTTTGGTCGGGTTGGTAATTTGCTGCGCTTACCACCAGACGGTTGGGATGATGTTCGGCTCTATCGAAGAACCGTTTGGTCAGGTCTTTAAAATATTCGCGAATCGTCGGGAGTCTGCAATCGCTGTGCAGGTCGACGTTGCGTTGATACCACTGCGCACCGGTTGCGCGGCGGATGAACTTATTTTGTATTGTTTGCAACTTGTACAAGCGAGTGGGGTGCCTGTGGGCGAAGGTCATGCATGCGTAAGACATAATAGGTCGTACGCAGGTCTTATATAATAATAATTTGTGCCTTAAGGGCATTTTACTTTTAGCGTTAGTTAAATTGTGTAGCCGGCCGGAGACGAACGCGGCTCTATTGCGAACGTTATTAATGTGCGTAGTAAATGACATACGCGAGTCGAAAGTGACTCCTAAGTATTTGACCTTTTTCTCCCAGGGGAGCGGTTGGCCATAAAGGGATATTTGCCCCAACTTTCTGCATTGACGAGGGCCATTATAAAGATGTGACGGGTAAGTACTTCGTGTGAAGTGAATCGCCACACTCTTTTCGGGATTTATTTCTATTCTCCATTTGCGGAACCAATCGCCGAGGCGGTCGGCAGCGCTTTGGAGTCGAGCGGTTAGTTGTCTAAGGTTGCGGTCTGAATAAAAGAGCGCCGTGTCATCCGCGAAAAGCGCGAGATTGACGTGGGGATCTTTAGGTATATCGCTCGTGTAGAGCGTAAAGAGCAAAGTTGAGAGGCAGGAGCCTTGTGGTACGCCGGCCGTGAGGTGGCGGCTTGTGGAGAGGGTGCTTTCAACTCGATATCGAAAAGAGCGGTTCGACAGGAAGGCCTGGATGGTGTGTACGAGCCTATCTGGCACTTTGAGTGTGTACAGCTTGTAAAGCAAGCCGTTGTGCCAGACCTTGTCGAATGCTTTTGCGACATCGAAGAAAAGAGCCCCTGTACTTGTTTAGGGTGATTTAGGCCTTTTAGGATATGTTCCGTTAGGCGGAATAGTTGATCGGGACAGGAATGTCTAGCTTGAAAGCCGAATTGTTCCGCCGGCAGAAGGCCGTTGGAAAACACGTGCTCATTGAGCCTGTTTAATAAAAGCCGCTCGTAGAGCTTCCCCAGGCAACTGAGGAGGCTGATGGAACGATAACTAGAGGGCTGGTTGGCTGGTTTATTAGGCTTGCGAATGCCGATAACCCTGGCTTCTTTCCAGTCGTCTGGAAAGGAGCAACTGGAGAGTAAAGTATTGTAAATGGTCGCCAGTAAACAGATAAGCGGCCCAGGGAGAGCTTTAAGAATTTTGTTACTAATATTATCTGGGCCCGGGGCGGATTTGAGGTTTAAGTTTTTAATAATATCTTGAACCTCTTCGGGGGTCACTGAATTCAAAGGATCGCCTTCCGGTGGAAGCGCAGCCCTAATCTCGATTACGCGGTCCACCTCCGTTAGGTGGGCTGTATCGATGTGTTCGTGCGATGGCGTACATTGCTGCTCTAGGTTGTCCGCAAGGCATTCGGCTTTTTCGGAGTCATCTAGGGCTACTGAAGCGCTATTAGGTCTAACTAACGGCGGTAGAGATTCGCGGGGGTCTGCTTTCAGACTGCGGACCAACCGCCAGTAGGCGGTGTGCGATGGCTCAATGTCCTCTAGGAGAGTGTCCCACGTTGTATGTTGGTGTTCCGATACACGATCTTTGACTTCTAGCTGAAGGCGTCGAAGTAGGGTTCGGTATCGGTCGAAAGCGCGTTTGCCTGCATCTTTCTGCCTAATTAGGAGTCGCAGTTCGGGCGGAGAGTTAAACCGTCGATCGCCCGACAGTTTAACCGTCCGTTCCGAGTCTGCGACTGTGGAAGTGATGGTTTCTCGGAGACTTGCTATCGCTCGATTTGCGTCATCGAACGTAGCTATCGTCTCGGGTAGGTCGACTAAGTCCTGGGGGTCCAAGGCCTTGAGTTTGACCTCAAGACGATGCCAGTCCACTACGGATTTGGTCGGAGGGACCGCGCCGGCGTTCTGGCCCAGTTTACACAGGACGGGCCTGAGATCTGAGTCTAGTTCATGGATTGTCTCTATCGACTCGATGTCGAGCGAGACCTCCTTGAGTAACATGATATCTAGGATACTCAGTGTCGCGTGTTGGTAGTTGTCCACCGTAGGATACCTAGTGGGAGTCGCAGGAGCAATTATGCTAAAGTTTAAATTATCGGATAAGCTAAAGAGATGCTTTCCGTTGTTATTTGGGATGCTGTGGATGTCCCATGAGCCGTGTTTGCAGTTTAGATCTCCTGCAATTATCACGGAAGGGCCTAAGTTAAGTAGCGTATCTAGGTCGCTAGTACAAGCGGCCTATGGCCGGTGAGCGCTAACCTACACGCGGATGCCTCTATATGGCTTAGCTCTGGAATGTCGAGCGGGCTACAGTGCAAGGACCGTTTGTAATAAATTAAGGTGCCTCCCAGACGGTTTGCTAACCGGTCGTGGCGGACTATGTTGTAGTTTGCGATTCTGGGATCGCGTACACTAGGTTTTAAGAATGTCTCTTGCACTAGAAAAATATCTATGTTATAATCGCGAAGGAATTCCGCGATTTCGTCCCTTTGACCCTTTATGCTGTTTGCGTTGAAATACGAAACAACCAGAGCCCGAGGTTTTGTTCTACCTGCGGTTGTACTTCCCATTAAAGATTTTTATGACTTCTAACTAACGACGCGGCGGAGCGCGGT